ACGTATATTTCAATAAAACAGTGTAGAGAGAGAGAGAGAGAGAGAGAGAGAGAGAGAGAGAGAATCAACGAGAAAAATAGGAAGAGAATATGGAAAGGGCTTGATAGGAAGAGAAGGGTTGAACGGTGGATGCAGGATATGTATTCGTAAAGTTGACTTACTGCACTGCAGTAGAAACGACCGTTTTCCTCTCTCTATCTCTCTCTGTCTCTTTCTCTCTCTTTCTCGGCCCTTATTCTCCTAGCCCCACCACAATCCATCTATCCACGTTCCGGAGGAACAGCTGCATCCAAAAATGGATGCCGTACCTGGGCAACAATGCTTTTCGAAAAGTTTTGCTCGGTTGCGGTTACACTTTTCATCCGTTCTCCAATCGTGCTCATTGCTCACACGTAAAAGAAGGATAGAGAGAGAAAGAAAAAGAGTAATACAGGTAGGTAGGTTTGTAGGTATGTAAGTACCTAAAAATGTATCTAACTGCTGTACTTCGTTCCATACGTCTATATACATACATACGATATATGTACACATGTGAGAAGAGAGAAAAAGAGAGAGAGAGAGAGAGAGAGAGAGAGAGAGAGAGAAAGGAAAAAGAAAAGAGAGAACCATGCGCAGGAGTACTCACGTTCATAGGGAAATACGCACGTGCGCAACCATGGTAGTTTTCTTCCTGACAGGGAATTACGATGATAGATACGCGCGTGCCGCTTTTTTTCCCGAGACTCTTCCGATCGTTTTGCAACTCTCTGGCAACGTTCCAGAATCACCAATGCGGTCGAACCAGAACACGGTTCTGAGGATAGTACCATATACCGGGGTACTGTAGCCAGCGCCATTTCAAAATGAATTTTTTTCATATGTACTCTAGGAGAAGGATCAAACGGGGCCATACCACATACGAGATTCGACTTTTATGCATGTATATATACATATAATGTGTATATGTGTATATATTTGTACTATTGGTTTCTATTTTTCTCTTCTATTACACGTATGTTTTGAGAGTACACGTGTTCACATTTGTACGTTTATATGCATGTAAAATCGGTAGGAATAACATAAACTGTTATTTCAAAACGACCACTAGCACAGTTCTTGTATTCATACTTATTTTTTTGTTCTTTTTTTTTTTTTTTTAACTTTCTATGATAGTTCCAACGAAATCTTTGTTCTTTTTCTTTTTTCTTCCCCCCTTTTTATTGGAAAAGTAAGAAAAATCGCACGACTTTTCCTATTGGACATTTTCCGTACACCGTAGGGATTTTATCGATTTTATCACCTCTACATATACTTTGTATATGGAGTAGATAATGCGAGTACAACGACATTAATCGGTTAATGAGGAAAATGTATATGATTATAGTCGCCTAGCTACGTTAATTGAAAATAGAGATTATGAAGGATTATTCGGTAGTTATTAAATTTTCGATAAAACTTTTCTTTTTATCAAAATATCGAGAAGAGTTTCGTTCATTTATTTTTAAGTTGTCTTGATTGTGACACGATTGATCGGTCTAGTCTCTTCTTTTAGTATCACGACCGTGAAAAATAAAGGCTAATCGGGCAGCACAGTTAACGTCACTGATATATCTATTTCTTTCTTACTTGGATTAGCAATGACATTTCATATAAAACGTGGGTATCTGCCACAGCCAAAAGGTCAACAGTTAACTTTCATTCCTTTCACGGTTTTCTCGATCGTTCATTTATATTGCAGTCAGAAACGATAATAGACCAAGCGTTAGAGATAACATTTCTAAATATTTTTTCCTGACTTTTATCGAACTGAAATATCGTTCTGTCAATAGTTAGTCAAATTTAGATTTAACAATTTATTTGTCGAAATGTTATATTTGATAATTTTTTAATCTAAAACAAAGAAATGATATTTATTATTAGTTTATTATTTTTATATAATATTATTGCAAAATATCATACGTATTTAGAATTATAATATATAATTAACAACAACAAATATACAATATATATATATATATATATATATATTATATATATTATATATATATATAATATATATAATATATATAATATAAATAATATATATATAATATATATTATATATATATATATATATATATA